GCGGCCTCTCCGGGGTGGAAGATCTCCTCCGGCCCCCGGTTTGATCCCCCCCCAAATGGCAGCCTGAGGCAAGTTCAGCCGGGCTGATGGCCGAGTGCTGTGATGTGCCGAGTGTGGGCATTCAGGGCACTCCAAGCCAGGACTGCTTTGCTGTCCCTCATTGAGTTAGACAAGCAAGCAGGGAACCCCTGAGAACTGTCTGTCCGGGGTGGGGGTCGGGACCCTTTAAGCACAGCCCTCGGCTAGCCTGAGACAGCATCTCCACGCTCTAAGTCCTCCTCTGATGCCCTGCCAGCACTGCTTCCGGCCATCCTTAAGCCTGGTTCAGGGTCCACTTAATGTGGACATGCTGGTTCGAATTAGCAAAACGCTAATTCGAACTAGTTTTTTAGTCTGGATCCGTTAGTTCGAATTAGCTTAGTTCTAATTAACTAATTCGAACTAAGTTAGTTCGAATTAACGTTGTAGTGTAGACATACCCAAGGATACCAGGGAAGATAGAAAAAAGGGAAGGTGAAGGAAAGATAGGATACATCTACACACCAGTGTTATTTCAGAATAACTGATGTTATTCTGGAATAACATAGTCTGCATAGTCTACAAGCAGTTATTTCAATATAATGTCAAAATAATATCAAGCTGGAGGCCTTCTTACTCCAACTCCTGTAACCCTTGTTTTACAAGGAGCAAGGGAAGTCGGAGGAAGAGTGTTCTTTCTTGGACTTCCCGTTGTGTAGACAGAGCCAAAAGCCGAAATAAGCTATTTTGACTTAAGCTATACATTTGACATAGCTCAAGTTGGATACTTTATTTTGGCTTTAGCTCTGCTGCATAGTCGTGCACATAGAAAGCAGAAGATGAATAGGGAAAGTAGAGAAAATAAGAGACATGAGAAGCAAGAAAGGGAGAGAGAACAATTTCTGGAAAAGGGATGCAAATCAGGTAAGTCAGGATAGGGAAATCCGCGGGGGATTTTGAAGTAGGAATAAGAGATCCTCCGGAAAAGGGCTTTATTCCAGAGGATCGCACGAGTCTAGACGCTTTTTTTTTCCGGCTTTTCCCCAAGCCGGAAAAAAAGCGGCGGACATGTTTATTTAAATCCCCCGCGGATTTCCCTATCCTGACTTACCTGATTTGCATCCCTTTTCCAGAAATTGTGGCCAGTGTAGACGTAGTCATCCTGTTGTTATCCCACCATCTTGTGAAATTGTCACAGGTGCCTGTGGGTACCTTTTAGTATTCCTTCCATGGAAGGTATAATGTTGAATGTCACACATCATAACTCCCTACAGTGCTTCATGCCTGGGCTACAATTTGAAAGATGTGTAAGGGGTTGTGTTTAGCAAAGTTTCAGTAAACAAGACACTTCATCTTTCAAAGTAAAAAAAAAATCCAGTGGTATTTTCTCCTGACATTTTGGGTAACATATAAATCAGTAAAGTAATTCAGTCTGTCATCCTGCTAGCTTAGCATTTTTCTCTTGCATACATATTAAAGTGATTCACAGATAGTTAACTAAAATGCAGGTAGGTATTTCAAATCTGGCACATCTTTAGAGAAGAAGCTCCCAGCATTTACCCAAAATTTCCAATAAAAATTTCATTGTAATTCCAGGCTCTCATTACCAAAGTATGACAACTGCTAGCACAGCAACTTATTTGAAATTTATGGTGCACTCTGATACGTCAGATCGCTAAACTACTTGCAGAGAAGCACGCTTGTATTGGGAATGCATAATGAAATCTTGTGCAATTTCCCCAGGAGAATTCAAAATAGCTGCAAGGCATTCTTTCAACTGAAAACCATGTCAAATTTTAGGAAGATGCACAAATATCATTATTTTAATACCTTATAATATAGTTGCTTATTTGTATCATCACATTGATTCCCCTGTTCTCATTATGGTGCCCAGTTCACACAAGCAATGTTAAACTAAATTCTTAAGCTCTTTAATACATTCTTCCTTATTTACTTTCTCCTGGAAGCAACACAAAACACACTTCCTTATCTCACAGTAGCCCAAATTCTGTACCAAGTTATAAATCTAAAGTTACTCTGGTATGATACCATGGAAATAAAAAATTATTGTCTGACTGAGAGGAAAATTGGTCCCTATAATCCTTTGTGGATGACAACTACATAACACCTATGTTGGGATCTTTATCATTTGTTTCAGTTATACTTTATTTAAAATGAACTCAAGCATATTCAAATTTATCTATTATGTTGTAGATCTGATTTTTTGCACTTTTCCTCATATTATGTGAAGTGCTATTTGTTATAGTAAGAGCAGATTGTACTATGAAAGTACACATATTCTCTATTCTGTGCATGAACGGAAGGAGAATTTTTTTTCTTTCTAATCATAGTAATGCGTAAGGTTCCTAACACCTAGAGCCCTCAAAATCTGCTGATATCCACTTTATATCTGCAGGTATCTTCATTCATCGATATGAATGTGGATATCCGTAGCTCATATTTGTGGATATGGATGCGGATGCAGATACAGGTTGGACCTCCAAAAAACAGAACTCCCTTGTCCAGCAACATCTGTGATGTTCCTGGACCAGGGAGTC